AACAGAAGAGGAGGTGATAAAAGAAAAATTATTAGTATAAAGCGGTAACCTGTTGATTGAACCTTAACTTGAAGACTTCCAAATTCTGGCTTACGGCCATATCGCGTTGAAACACTTGTTCCCGTATGATTACTGAAGTTAAGAAATGTCGGGGATAGTTAATATCTAGATGGGTGACGGACTCTTTCTTTCTATAGCTTTCTCCAAAGCAGTGTCTAATAACTCTGGATACCAGTCGAATTTCTTTGTAGATTATTATCCTTGGGTTGCTGAATTGTCCCGCGGATTATTGATACATACACGCTGGTTTAAGGTATCCACCCACAAAGAAAATAATCGGGTGGGGTCAGACCAGAAGAAACTGCTGGTCAAAGAATTTCCTGAAATTATCCGGTAAGAAAATGATTGATTAAATGCAAAATAAAATTCAAAGATTTTGTCCATTTGTTCAATTGTGAATTTTTATCAGGTATAATTTTCATACATTAAGCTATGTTCTAAACAAAAGATATATAAAATGGTAATGTTATGACATTTGTAAATATCCAGATGACTCATGGGATACCCTGTATATATAGAAATTGAAGAGAATGAGAGTGATTCGGCTTTAGGGAACTAACATGTCGAATTTTAGTTGTAAAAGTCTGAACTGGTGGAATTAAAATATTGAGGTCTTTCTTATCAAATCGCAGAATGAAAGTTATTCTCAAACGGTCAATCTTCTTGATCTTTTTGTATTAATGTTGGTGTCTTTTTGAATTCTATCCTTGGATCTACTTTGTTCTTAATTTCCGCCAATGACCTTCCTGATGACATCAGTTCTCAACTTGGTATCGATGGCGGTGACACAACGTATTTACTCCTGTCTCGATATTAAGTATACTCAGATAAGATCAAATTTACAGCTGATCTCAAACAAAATGACCTACAATCTTCGGCAAGGAATCTCAAGCTAATTTTAACGCCTCCAAAATGAAACTTCTCTGGGTTAATCTACTGAGAGAACCCTTTTTGCCTCTCATCAGTATGGCTGATGTTAACTTTCAGGGTAGTGACTCGTTGCACCTTCTCTGGCTAACATTCACGGCTGACAGGAATTCGAGATGATATTGAATCCATTGTTAGTTCTACTGCGAAGAAAGTGGGTTCACTGTGTCGTACTAGACAATTTTTCTCTCCAGAATCTATCTTACATATTTATCACTCTATCATTCGTCCATACTTAGAAAAACGTTGCCACATATGGTATGGTGCTCTTGCTATATATTTAGAGATTCTTGATAAAATTTAAAGAATAATCAGCAATATTATTGTTACTGACGTGGCTTCTCGAATTCAGTCAATCTATAATGTAGATTTCCTGTGTTTTTCTATAAATACTTTAATTGATCGGATGAACTATACGTTATGGTATCTAGATTTTAATGATTTAAGCGCAGCACCAGATTGATAACAAGGTTTCATCAATTTACAATTGAAATGGTTAGATGTAACTGTTGAGGGTTCCTCCCCCTTTTTACACAAATGGACTCACCCAGTATATACATATACTACGGCTACGTGAAGACCCGAGGGAGCAAGACCGAAAAGTCGAGTCGAGTCCAGTCCAGTCCGGAGTGACAGAGTAAAAGGTTGTAGGTAACCGGAAGAGTGAGGGTGAGGTAACAGCGTTGTAGGAGTCACAGTGAGCGAGCACGTAGACTCAGTAAGAAGTCATACAGCGATACTTCAATACCAAAGACTGTATATATATATTTTGCTACTAACCCGTATTCCTGGAACTACTAACCTGCTTTACCAGTTTGTATTATTACGTTAATATATTATTTTCATATATTCATTCCTGGCGTTTGTTATTTATTGGTACCGGATTTCAACCCGGAATCCACAACAGTCACCATAATTCTATGCTAACAGTTGCTTCTCTCGCATTTCTTGCTCTTCTGCCTCCACGCTTTCTAGCCATCCTTAATTCTTAAAAAATTTAAATGCATTTTCAAAGCTTTCTTCTTGCTTTCTCGTCTATTCCACTCGCTCGTCTTTTTCTTATTCTTTTACACTCTGTAACCCCATGTGTCTTAGTGGCTTTACTGCTTTGCATGGGGTGAAATGATTACAAAGAACATGTGTGTGTGTGTGTGTGTGTGTGTGGTGGGACTCTTCCATCGTAGATCGAATCTGGCCGTTGACCCGCACCGACCAGGGATGCTAAGAACGGCTAGAAAGCGGAAGATACCACACCACACGACCTATGAGCGTCAGACCACTCAGTTCCTGGAAACCGACAGCCAGAAAACCTGCACATATGATTTGATTTCGAATTCCAATCGAATCCGTTACATTCACTTACGTGCTAATACACTTGAGAAAGGTTATGAATCCTCTTCTTCTCCCCCCCCCAGTTATGGGTAAATAGAAGGACAGACTGGGTTCTATAGCCATGGATGGCAACGGGTATAGAAGGACAGACTGGGTTCTATAGCCATGGATGGCAACGGGTATAGAAGGACAGACTGGGTTCTATAGCCATGGATGGCAACGGGTATAGAAGGACAGACTGGGTTCTATAGCCTTGGATGGCAACGGGTATAGAAGGACAGACTGGGTTCTATAGCCATGGATGGCAACTGGTCTAGGAGAAGGACAAATCTGAATTCAAAACATGAGGAGGATCGTTTGAAGACCTTTATGGAACACGGTACAGCAGGTCTCAAAAGGTGTGTTTGTCTCGGTACAAACCCATCACCAGTATAATCAAATTATTATTATTATTATTATTATATATATATATATATATATATATATATATATATATATATATATATGTATAAGAGGAAGAGGTTATAGTAGTTCCAACGAGAGAAAAGTGTGTATATTAAAAAGAAGAAAGAAGATGCAAACGTTTTTGGTTGTAATGTGGATTTAAAAAAAAAAATGCTTTATTTTTCATAATTTTGCTACACGAGTTTCCGTTCTCGTGACCATCATCAGGCAAAGGGTGGAGATTTCCACATATTATTAAAAATAATTAATTTTTTCTCCTTTATGTTTTTTCGATGTTAAATATTCTCGATATGAGACATTCTCTTTTTTGTGTGTTAGCGACCCAAATTTCTTTCTTGAACTGGCAGTGAAAAGTTCTGCGTGAAGGGTTATAAAACAATTAAGATTGTTCCGAGAAATGGTGAAGGAGTTATCAGCATTCTTATCTTTTAATGGCCCCTGTGTGTTATTTGATCTATTTCCATTTTCGTGTGTTTTTGTCAGCATGCGTGTATATATGTGTATATTCCTCTCTATATATATATATATATATATATATATATATATATATATATATATATATATAAGTTTATTAAAAAGAATGAACCGATCCAGCCAAGTCACGTATATTCTACTCACAATTCTACTTGCAAGTGTTCAAAGTGGCCACCACCCGCAGCACGGCCAACATCAATGCGAGAAGAGAATTCCTCCCAGACGCGTATCAGCATATCACGATCCACTGAATTGATCGCGGTGTTTAAAGTCATCGAGGTTAGTGGGTTGCGTGGAGCATAAATGCGATCTTTTACATATCTCAACAAGAAAAAAATACACACAGTGCGGTCTGGGGATCACAAAGGCCAAGCACAAAGATAGTAGATTGATTCATCGCAAACTGACCGCTAGCTCGATTTGTGGACTTCGGTGAAATCCCCTCAAACGCGAATCGCCACTTGTTCCTCCGAAGCTCGTGATCGCCCCTGGACCTTTTCCTTTACACATACACTCACTCTCTTGAAACTGTTTAAACCACCATCGATTTTTTTTTTTAGGAGAGGGCGGATTAATGTGGAATTGCCTTTCAAAAGCACGATGCACCGTAACAGCCGTATTTGTTTTCCAGAACTCGAGAAAGCAAAACGCCTTTTGCTGAGGATTCGCCATTCCCGGGGTAAACAAACAACTGAACGTTGCCGGAGACGCGACGCGACTACAGTGTGGGGCACGGAGAGATTTCCCCGCTAACAATTGTTCTAAAGAAAAGTGATATTTTTTTCTAAAATGAACTTTATTATCAAAACTTTAAAAGGAATGCAATTTAAATGCAAGAAACCATATTTCCCTCAGTATCTGTCTATATTTCTGAGATGTGGTATTATGTACATTATTTACATCTTTGTCGCAATATTTATTACAACGTTTCGGCCGCTGTACGCTCTGTTCTAGTTCTACGTGTCACGTTTAATGTTTATCAGTTATCTCCTGTTAATTCCCCTCTCCAAGTTCTCCACTGCCTTAACCGGCTTATCCAATGCGTCATGTGTTCTTGAGGACATTTCTGTATAAATTTCTGGGTATTAAAAACGGAATGTGTTCAGCAACAATTTTTTGCTGTTATCATAGCATGTTTTACCAGAGCTCATATTGCAAATTTTGTTGTTATCGCTTTTCTCTGGCACTCCTTATTACTGGTTCCCATATTGTATACAATATGAACACTGGTAAAAAATGGTTGCTGATGGCGTTAGTTAGATCCAGTGACAGGATCCAAAAGAGCGCGAGTTCAATACCCGCTTAAGGCAGTGGAGAACTTGGAGAGTAGAATTAACAGGAGATATCTGATGACATCCATTAAAAACATGGCACGTGGCACTAGAACAATCTACCCCAGTGAGCGAAATAAAGGGTTCAGTTCGACATTCCAACCACCTGAAGAAGACTGGGGAGTACAACGCCCGAAACGTTGTAATAAATATGGCGACAAAGATGGGGACAATAGACCGAATAATGTAAATAGTGTACATATTTCCCCCCTTTAAAAGAAACGGAAATGATAGAGAGAGAGAGAGACAGAGAGAGAGTTAGAAATAGCAAAGAAAGAATAATTATTGGGCATAAGCATAAAAAAACAAAAAAAGAACGAGTCGATCATGACTGCACAAAACTTATGGATGAAACATCTACCCTGAAGCCGATCGTAATTCACCCCAAATCTCCCAGCTCCAATTCACACCATGGGAGGTAGATTAGGCTTAAAATGGAGTGCTGTTGCCATATTTGGGCGGTAGCCATCGAGTACTCACTTTACAATATTGATAGTGTTCAAAAGCGTCTTAGAGTGACAAATTAGTTTCCACCCTCCAAATTGTCTCTCTCTCTCACATGCGGGATGTGGCGAGTCTCTCACTGCTCTATCGCAACTTACATGGAATGTGCTCGGGCGAACTATATTCCTTGGTTACGCCAGCTCCAACCTTCATGGCTAGGACCCAGCATACCATTCCCATTGTAGTGAACCATCATTCCCTCCATATTCCATTTGTGAGGAGGAAGTTCCACTCAAGCAGCTTTCTCCCGCTAACCACTGCCCTGTGAAACAGGCTCCCAAGAGGATGTTTCCCCGATCACTAAAATCTTACCCTGTTCAAGTTAGGAGTTAACCATTATCTCCCCCTCCGATCTGTATAAGTTACTCCTTAATTTAACTCTCTACCTCAATTGGCCCTCGGGCCTTGTACTGAATTAACCTTACTGTTTAAAAATAAAACAAATAAAAAAATATCTGTTGCAGTCGCCATTTTGAAAATCACAGTTTTTATTCATTCGTCTGTAACAACTCCCTCTCTCTCTTTCTGTCTCTCTTTCTGCCTCTCTCTTTCTCTCTTTCTTTTTCTCTCTCTCTCTCTTTCTCTCTCTCAGACATACACACAGTTTGATTACTTGCGTGCCATTTTCTTTTTTTGTCGCAAAAACTCCACTCGTGAGATTTGGGGCGAAGGCGTGGTGATGCATGGTGTTAGAAGTTTCGGAACACGTCACGGTAAAATATCAACCCTAAAGAATTCAAAAAAAAAAAAATCTAAACAAAAAAAAAAGAACAAAAAAATAACAAAGGTGTCGAATATGTGGGTGAAAGTTAAATAATAATACAACTGTTAACAATAATATCAAAAAGAGGGAAAAGAACGAGGGAGAAAGTCGTCTGGCTAAACTCCATTTCACAGATACATGCACACACATTTCGACTGACTGCCTATCGCACGCATGCGCACTTACGGATTCTGTTCTTTTCTTCCTTCTTTTCTTACTTTCCTTCTTTCAAGAATTTGATCTATTTCTGAGATCACTTTTTCCGTTATTCCCCCCCCCTCTACCCCATTGTTTTTCTATTCGCTTATCCTCTCCCTATTATGTTGCTTCTTATTTTATATATATTTTTATTTTTAGATTTTTTGTCTCCTCTTTCTCTCTCTTTTTCTCTTTCTCTCTCTTTCTTTTTTCTCTCTCCTCTCTCTCTCTCTCTCTCTCTGTTATCTCTTCGATGGACTCTGTCACACTCTATGTACTTGGATTTTACAAATCACTCATTGCACACTTGTCTGTTTTGTCTTTCTTTCTCCATCTCCTGTACACACACACACACACACACACACACACATATATATATATATATATATATATATATATATATATATATATATATATATATTGTTGTCATCCACAGAGAGACTGTTTTGCTGTATCACAGCTCATCAGTGTGGCATACAACTGCTTCAAGAACCGATCAAACCCCGGCTAATTTGGCTTCAACCGGAGAATCTACCACTAATCTATTGGCACACGGTAGAGAGAAAGTGAATTTTAGCGTATTTATTTTTTAAAAAGTATATATATATATATATATATATATATATGTGTGTGTGTGTGTGTGTGTGTGTGTGTGTGTGTGTGTGTGTGTGTCTGTCTGTCTGTCTGTCTGTGTGTGTGTTTGTGTGTATGTTTGTAGAACGCATATTATTATCCGAAGCAAAAGTAAGAATGATGACATGATGTACACAATTTTTATGTTAGAATTAAAGAAAGTCAAAACTGTATACAATTTTGTCGGTCTTTCATTTTAACCTGAGGAAGACAAAGAGAGAGCAGACGTTTTTCCACTTTCTCTCATCATACACAGACACAGACACACAAACTTACAAACAAACACATACATATATATGGCTACAAAACATTTCATTGCTATCCTTGATAAAGTCAAAAGTCGTAACCCGCCGGTGAGAAGTAAGAATGTTTTCCAGTTGTCATTTTGAATCCATATATATGTATATATGGCCTAACGATTGCGTTTATCATGAAATAGGCGGTCGCCTCTGGGTGTTGACTTCAGTGTCTACTTTTATATTTACATACGCTTTATCCCTGATTTTGAGCAATTAAAACTGTAAATATAGCATACCTTAAAACTTTTTTGTCATATATATATATATATATATATATATATATATATATATGCATGTTTCATTAAAAACGACAGACAAGGTACTACGGTTGAGCTTTTTATTTAATTTTCTTGTGTTCTGACATAGTTAATATTAATATTAACTATGAACAAAGCCACAATGTGCTAACCGTATTCGGAAACTAAAAACATCACTACCACACACTGAACATACACAGAACACACACACTCTACTAAGCTGATAATTGAATCATCCTTGATAATGGCTACAGGTATAGCCGAAAGCGCTCGGAAATACAGAACATTCGGACAGTTCTTACACACTCTTTGTCCAGAAAAGAAAGCTCTTGTCAGAACACAAGAAAAATTAAATAAAAAGCTCAACTGTAGTACCTTTGTCTGACGTTTTTAATGAAACATGCATAAAGGAAGGATTGCTGCCTAAATATACAAATATATATATATATATATATATATATATATATGCGTGTGTGTGTGTGTGTGTTTGTGTGTGTTTGTGTGTGGTCGCATAGGTAAGTAAGTCGTCTGGATAGACATGTCGTAGTGTGACCGATGTAATACACATACAAACCTACTAGACTCCATCCAAAACATTCTAGTAGAAAATACAAGCATAATAACCTCATCCAGATATATATAAAAAAAATAATAATGGAAGCCCTAATAATAAAAAGAAAAAGCCAACGCTCCGCAACATTAACTAAGAACACGGACACAATATGCTGACTGTTTTTGGAAAATAAACATCTATATAACTCTAGATACATACACACAACACATACACCCGGTTAAAAAGCAAAAATAAAATCATCCTTGATAATGGCTAAAATAATAGCCGAAAGCGCTCGGGAATATAAAACATTTGCACAGTTTTTATGCAATTTGTGTACAGAAAAGAAAAAAATTAAAAAAAAATCTTAATCTCAGTAACTTGTCAGTCGTAATTAAAGAAACATGTATAAAAGAGTGATTGTTGCCTAAATACACAATATATATTATCGTAGGCTGTTATTTTGACTGCTGGGTTTTGTTTTATTTTTTATCTTCTTTTTAAACTTTTCTCTGGGTCTCCATCGAAATCTCTAAATCCGACACGTGCACTTCAACCCGGCTTCGTTCCCACGAAAGGGGCGGTGAATCGTTTAGGTCAGGAGAATCGGGAGAAGGAGGGGGGGCTCATGTTCCATTGGTAGCAGCGTGGGTGCTTGGTTAGTTGGTTATTGGCGGGAGGTTTACGATTTTGACAATAATGGCTACGGAAATAGTGAAACAGCCTAAGATTGGCGGTTAAAATAGAAAAGGATAGAGTTAGTACCGTTATTTGTTTATATATATATATATATATATATATATATATATATATATATATAAGAAAGAGGTCATAGTGGTTCCAACGAGAGAAAAGTGTGTATATTAAAAAGAAGAGAAGAGATGTGCCACATTTTTGGTTGTAATGTGGATTTTTTTTTTTAAATATTATGCTTTATTTTTCGTAATTTTACTACACGTGTTTCTGGTCTCGCGACCGTCTTCAGGTAAAAGGCGGAGATTTCCACATATTATTAAAAATAATTAATTATTTCCTTATGTTTTTTTTCAATGTTAAATATTCTCGATATGAGACATTCTCTGTTTTTGTGTTAGTAATCGGAATATATATATATATATATATATATATATATATATATATATATATATATATATATATATATATAGTAAAAAAGAAAAGAACAGTAAGATATATAACCCAGTGTCCTTATTAATTATTTTTCTTTTTACAAAACAGTGCTCAATGTAAATTTACAGAGAATAAATATTATAAATTAACTGATTTAAAAATATGGTTCCATCGCTTCACAAGAATTAACATGTTTCAGAAACAGAAACTAACTTCAAATTCAGTTATATAATTAAATTAAAAGTATAAGTTATCTTTTATCTTCAAGCGAATTTTTTAATAACTTATTTTGAAATTTACTGAGTTTTAAAAGCACATACATTCATAATTTTTATTTCCAAGGATACAGAGCAAAAATCTTCTTTAAGTAATTAAAAAAAAGCTCTATTATGCATAATTATATTTGATATTTAATGATAATAGTAATATGCATACTTATATTTGATATTTAATAATAATTCTTTAAATAATTTAAGTAATTCCATTACATTTAGTTGTTTTAAAATGAAATATAATCTATTAGTAATTAAAAGTAAAAATAATGTTGTCGATACAACGTATTCTAATCCAAACACCCCTTTTAGAAAGAATCTTTAAGTATACAAGTATAAATTAAACGGATAAAAATGCGGAAAACCTTTTGTCGTTGATAAAAAAAAGCCAGACGACATGCGTTGAACGGATGTCATAATTCGTTGAAAAATGCACCCTTATCCTACCTAGACTTAACCTCTTTCGAAAGTAAATCATATTTTGATACAATAGTTGTTAATAAATATGAACACTTTACCGCCCCTGTCTAAATGATTGGATTTCTCTGTATCCTTGGAAACAAATATCATGCCTGTGTGCGCATATCTACATATCCAGTTATATATAACAACATATAGATATATGATACATGGCATATAGATATCTTATAACATATAGACGCCTGTAATTCACTCTAATTTCCTTATATATCCAACAAGGTTAGGAGAAAGAAAAAAAGACAAAATTTATTAAGCACTACAACGTACAGGAAAACGTGGAGAGCCATGACCACCAACGTCCTGGAGTGACACGACACATGATCTGAAAAAAGGACGTGAGGTCTGGTGACATCCTTTTAGTAGACGATAGTATTCCTACTGGCCAATTCTAGAAGCTTTTCATCTATTGCTACCTTCCAAGAGAAAAGGCTTATTATCTGACTTCGTCAGCTGATCTCATGGAATGTGGAGGTTTCAGAGAAATTGATATTATTTCGTAATCTAATTACTTGACCAATTCTAGTTCAGTTGATCTCACATTTTAAGATCATGCGTAGAAATCACAGAACTAGTCCTACATGTTTCTGATTTTCATCAACGATTTTCCTGACGCCATCAATTCCCAAGTTGGCATCTATGCAGACGACGAAACTATTTACTCCTGTGTCAATAGCAAATCCAGCATTGCTGACAAAACTAACTCCAATCTGAAGAACCTCCAATCTGTGTTTGACTGGGGCAGGAAACGGCTTGTCAACTTGCCTCCAAAACGAAACTGCTCTCATTTACCCACCATAGTGAACCTTCCCTGCCTCCCATCAGCATGGCTGATGCCTAACTCCAAGAGAACGCCTCTCTGCGCCTGCTTGATCACGCGCTTTCCACTGACCTGAGGTGGAGCAACTATATTGAATCAATAGCTTTCTCGACCGCAATGAAAGTTGGTTCTGTGTCGCCCCAGAAGGTTCTTCTCGCCTGAGTCCATCCTTCAAATTTACAAATCAATCATTTGTCCTTACATGGAATACTGCTGCCATATATGATCTGGTGCCTCTGCTGTTAATCTACAGGTCCTAGACAAAATCCAGAGACGGATATACAATGTGGTAGGTCTTGATCTGGCATCTCGACTCCAGTCACTTTCTCACAGACGTGCAGTGGCTTCCCTCTGTCTTTTCTACAAATATTTCATGGCATCTGCTCTGACGAGATACTTTCACTGTTACCCCAGTTGCATGAATTTAAGCTTGCTACTAGATTGGCATCTCGGTCCCACCCTTTCACTGTCGAAGCGGTTAAATGTAGCCGTCTCTTCTACTCCAACAGCTTCTTATCTCGCACCTACCGTCAGTGGATCACTTGCTTCCCTGATAGCTATAATCTTCAAATCTTCAAATGTAATGTCAATCGACATCTTCTGATGCCTTGACCTTGATCCCTGTCCTTCTCTTTATCCTTTCCCCAAACACCTCTCTTTACTCTTGCTCTCACTCTCTATAACCACTTGCGTGCTAGTGGCACTCTCACCTTGCTTGGGGTGATAATCTTTAAAAAATATTTCTTTTTTTTTTTTTTTTGCAGCTATGGAAATTCAAATCACCGAAAAAGAAAAACGTGTTTTATGTGTTAGATTGCGCGCGAAAACAGTCGAATAAGACTTCGCAGCGTGCATTTGTGTGAGATTTCGCTAAAAATGCACCAGCTACAATTCTGTTACACAATACATGCTACAACGTGTTTGGCAGGAACTGGACTACCGACTTGACATGTGCCGTGTCACAATCGGTACGCATATTTAAATCAAGAAATCCGCTTCCCTTTGAATATTTTATTTAAATTTTGATGGACAAATCTTATTTTACTCAGCCCACTGAGGTTCATTTGCATAGGCTATGTAGTTATTTCAGATATTTACATCTCAAATGATACCAAATTTTTGGAAACACCCTGTAAATGCCATTTCAATCCTACCAAATACACGGTATCGCCTTCTTTTGCAGTGATTTACAGTGGTTTATTCCGTTTTCACCAGGACATTTCCCTCTCCACATTGTTATAAACAATCCATTTTTCATCGCCTGCGACCATTCCTTTCAGTTTTTTTTTTTTTTAGATTATTGGTAATCATCCTTTTGGTTTGGTCATCAACAATGACTGCATGCCCAGATGTGATATGTGGAGTATCACGTGCCGTATGAGCTACATTATTGGTAATCATCCGTTATAGTTAGAAGTAATTTTACTGCCCTTAATATCCCCGCCACAGTCTCTATTCTGTCATCCCTCTACACAAGCTCGTTAGACAGGTTAGTCGTTACTTCTCTCTGACAACCTTGCTATTACTATATGATTTGATTGTCAAATTCTACAAGTCTTTTTTCTTCAATATGTGCCACAGAAATGTGAAAAATAAGGGAGTGGCTTCTGTTTCTCCCCCACAGTTTGGAATTCGCACCTGTTCTTCTCTGAGACTGGTTGACAATCATAGTTAAAGAGTTCAGTCTACCTTACTATTTGACCCATAGCTGACGGAAAAAAAGAAATAATCCACTTCATTAACAAGGAAATTTGATGAAAGTGAACATCCCAGTAAGTACCTAACTCCTCACAGTAGCCTCTACCTTTACAATGAGCCAATTCCGACCGTAAATGGAGAACTGTGGCCATATTTGAACGGGAGATGCCTTGTTCTCACTTTCCAGTCTCGGTAGAGTTCAAAATGTCTCCCAGTCCTTGTGGGTGATGAATTATTTCCCACATTCCAACCTCTCTCTCAACCGCGGTATGTGGTGAGCCTCTCACTGCTCTATCACTACTTCCATGGAAGGTGCTCAGGCGAACTATATTCCTTGATTACGCCAGGTCTAACAAACATGGCTAGGAGGCCCATGCCAGTTGTAACGAATCACCCCACATTCCCTTCCTTATTCCATCGGCGTGAAGTAAGTTCCACTCAAAAAGCTTCTTCCCGCGAACCATTTCTCTGTGGAACAGACTCCCAAAAGGATGTTTCCTCAATCATAAAATCTTAACCTCTTCATGTCTAGAGTTAACCGCTATTTTCCCCTCCTATCTATATAAACTACCCTTTAATGTAATCCTCTGCCCTGAGTGTCCCCCAGGCTTTGTACAGGATGAACATTACTGTGTAAAATAAAATAAAATAAAATAAAAATCTATTGCAGTTACCATTTTGAAAATCACAGTTTTCCATTCATTCGCCTGTAACACTTCTTTCTTTCTTCTTTCTTTCTTTGTTCGTTTCTTTCTTTCTTTTTTCTTTCTTTCTTTCTCTCTCTCTCTCTCTCTCTCACACACACACACACAGAGTCTTATTTCTCTATCACTACAATATTAACCTGTTCCTGTCAACAGTTAACCTCTGCCTTCCCCTCCTATCCGTATAAACAGCCTCTTAACGTAATCCTCTACATCGAGGGGCTCCGTCCTTTATAAAAGTGAACTTTACTGTAAAAAAAATAAAAATAGTTAAGCCCGAAATTTGAAACCGTTATCAGCGTTGATTAGTGTTGCACTATCAGTGCATACCGGCTTCATCTTGATGAATCAAATAAAAATTTAGCTTACCCAATATAATACTAATCTTCCATATTACAAGTACTTTCGATAACACTTGTATCATCTTCAAGCGTGGATGTTATTTTTCAATTTCAGGTAGATTCAGGTAAAATTCCGAGACAAAAATAAATGTAATACTGGTCGAAAAATATATATATTTTTTTTTTAAGATGTGTGTTATTGTTAACACTTACAAAGTGGCGACGCTAAATTAATTTTTCTGGTTCAGTTAACCCCACGGAGACCAAGGGGGCACTGTGTAATCCCAGCTTCCATCGACTGATTTTCGAAGAAGGCCGACATTCTCCGATTGGGTTGCTGACGGAACACAATGTTTGTTGTCTCATTTAGTTTCATTCAGCATTTTGTAGTTCTGTGTTGAGTTTAGTAAATATCAGATTTTAAGCCCTCTAATTGTTTTGACCCGTTGCCCTAACTACTGAACTACTCTTGAACGTGCAAGATGTCGGTAGAAAGAGCAAATTTATAGAGAAACCGAAGAATAGTTTACGGAACTTAAAATCAAACGAAAGAGAATGAAAAAGGTCACAACGGTCGATAAGTGAAAAAAGAAAACTTTACTAAAATCATGGAATTACATTGAGGAACGCATCAAAAGTCGGTAGCCGAATGGGGAGGCCGGTGTTAGGCTAAGATCACAAAGCAAAAATGCACAAATACGTAAACTCAAAAAAGAAAAGAAAAAAAAGGAAGAAAGAAAGAAAGAAAAAGTTTCCCTTCCGCTACAAACAAACCACGAAAGCGTATGGACGAAACACGAACAAAAAGATCATTCTTCAATTGGACAGCCAGTCATTACGAACCCGCGGACCAAAAACTATGGACATGTTCAGCAGCAGCAGCAGTAGGAATAGCAGCAGCAGCAGCATTAACAATAACCACAACAACAGCAATAAACAAAGAAGAGCAAACAGAAATAAATGAACAAAAGACATCTTTAAAGATCAGTTTTGTTAATCGTTTGGACGGAATTTACTTTATAGAGTCAATCCTTTCCAAAAGAAAAATACACTCTCTGTCTTACTCTGTAGCTTTCTCTCCGTCTCTCTTTCTCTCTGACTCTCTTTTCCCCTCGCACTCTTTCTCTCTCCATATATATATATATATATATATATGTGTGTGTGTGTGTGTGTGTGTGTGTGTGTGTACAGGATGTATCAAAAATTTGTGATTTACTTATGTGTCTTCTGTCAGCATTCACACAGGAATGCCGCAGATCATAGTACTTGATGTCAGGATTGAACCAGCGATTCGGCAATTCTCTTTTGAGCTGTAGCAATTGTTCTGCTTTCTGTTGTCCACAAATGCACACAATGGATTGTTAAATTTTCTATTTTTCTTCAATTCAGCGAATAAACCGAAATTTTCTCCGAAGCTGAGTTCCATGGCTATACTTAATAAATATTGCTTATTTTTGTATATATATATATATATATATATATATATATATATATATATATATATATATATATATATATATATATATATATAAAAGAGAAGATCAGTAACAGTATTAAAATTATCGGTCGGTGGGTAAATAAAATGTACGTAGTTTCTTTTCACCCGCTTCATATGAACTGAAAAGGAACTTTTTAATATGTATGCAATGGGTTATAATTTCCGATCTCTCTATAAAATTTTTTGGGTGTCTGGAAATGTTATCATAGCTAACTTTTCTTGTTGATAAAGGTTGCATATATATATATATATATATATATATATATATATATATATATATATATATATATATATATATAGATATAGATAGATAGATAGATAGATAGATATGTACTTTTTATATATATATATATATATATATATGCATATATATATATATATATATATATATATATATATATATATATATATATATACTGTTTATACAATATTTTTATAGGTACAATTTAAGTAAATATTCTGATATTTTCTTAAACATTTTTAATTACATTACCGGTTTGAATATTCGAAAATTTCGTAGAATATATACGTCCTTCTACAAGAATTGAACTCGTATTCCTATAGGAAAAACGCCATTTCATCTGAGGTGCTATACCATTTTGCTAGAGAAAAGGGTTCAGTTAGCAAAGTCCAAATTACTTTTAGAAAAATGGTCGAAGATTGTTGTTAATTGCGCAAATGGTAATGGACGCCGGGCTGCACGTCTGTATCAGGTTGCATTTCCAGACCGAAGGAAGCCGAGTCATCCAACATTTAGTGCTACTTTGCCCCGCGTTGCTGAGACAAGATCCGCATTTTTTATATAACCTGTGTATATATATGCAATGGTGCATTGTGGGTAATCTATTCTGCCGGTCATTTTGCGGGAGTGGCTTGTTTGCTTATTTATTTGTTTGGGTTAATTTATTTTACTTGTTTTTCATTTTCATTTTTATTATTTATTCCTTTCGTTTTTTGATGTTTTATTAACGTAGTAAAAAATTTGGGTGGGGGATTTGCTTAGGTCGTTTATTTAATAGTTTGTTTTGGTCTGGGAAGATAATTAAAGCTATTTATTCATCCAATGTTTAGATTGCTTGCCGTAGTCTATTCTGTTATTTTGGCGGGTGGACAGTTTTTAATTTATTTATTTGATTTGAATATTTTTACTTGTTTTTGCTTATTTATGCATATACATACATACATATATATATATATATATATATATATATATATATATATATATATATATATATTGTAAAGAAGTACTCATAGAAAGAGTAAATAAGTAAATTTAATCATTTCGTTAACATATTATATAAGGCACTTATCTTGTTGATCGTCCTTGTTTTTAAAAACTGTAAAATAAATTAAATGTTCCGTCCACATTACAAGTACTTTCGATAACACTTTCGATCATCTTCAAGCGTGGATGTTATTTTTCAATTTTAGGTAGTTTCAGGTAAAATTCCGAGACGGAAATAAATGTAATAACGGTTGAAAGATGTTTTTTTTTTTTTTTTTTTTTGTAAAGCTGTGTATTATTATTAACAGTTACAAAATTTTGGTCACGACGCTAGATTATTTATTTGAAATAGATATGAAAAAAATGAATATTCATGACTCAAAAAAACCTTTATATTTTTCCTTACATACATATATAATTACCGTTTATTTGCCAAATATAAATTTTGAAATTAAAAAAATGTAACCCCCAGGATAAAATATAATTATGCCAACATTGTAACAAACTGATATTTTAAAATTCAAATTACTTAACGGTTAGTCCATATTCAACGCTTGAATATGGCGTTGTAAATGAAACTCGAAAGTTATTTAATCTCACCCCGGACCTCAAGTGGAATTTATATATATAATCTATCGTTAAGAATGATGGAAAATGGTCGGACACTCTACCAGTCCAGAAGGAACCTAATTCCTTCTGCTACGCTACAGAACCTTTTCTGCCTACCATCAGCTGATGCTAACCCCCAGGAAAGCAACAGATTATGTCTTCTTGGTCTCACGTGTTCCACTGGCATGAATTGTAGCAACGATATGGAAACAACTGCTTCGTCTACTACAATAAATCTTGGTTCACTATCACGTGCCAGAAACATATTCTCGTCAAGACTGATCTTGCATATTTATAAATCTACCATTCATCCGTGCATTGAATACTGTTGCTATAACCTGTGTTAGACATTTCGCACGGACATGGCCGACATTATTACCACAACGAAAACAACATTTTTTTTTGCTCGATTTTGGGGGGTACATATTTATCATATTGCTTCATAATTACGTAACACAATTTTAAACTCAGTGAAAGTTACTTGTTTATCTTTTTGAGTTATAACTGTCGTGAATGGTTTGAATGAAGGTGGCAAACCCTTCAAGACCATGGCTATTTGCAGCTCATCCGAGATAGGCTCACCTGCAATTTTAAAGCATTTCTGTCATTCTCTGCTAGAATAATTGGTTACTGATTCATTTTCTTTTCTCTTTAACGCGGATGGTTCAGTATATAAAGCAATAATTTTAGGCTTACCTTTTAACAAAAAGTATTCATTTAAATTTGTGTAGAGCTCGGATTCCATTGTCCTTGGACTCCCTAATTATTAAAGACAAACTCTGGTCATCCAGGAATTGAATTAACTCAGCGAAAACGGTCGCATTTCTTCATAAAATCATCATGCCCCCCTCCTGGTCGACTTGTCATGGAGTTTTTGTATTCTTAGGTAGCCTAAAAACTTCGTCTCCCATAATTCATATCCAGATTCATTCCCGTCAAAATAATTCGTGATCTGGGCTCATAACCTATGTTAGACATTTTCATGACGGTCGTCCTCGAGTATATAATCCAGAGGTTGGCAGTGAATATTTCGGAGACAGTAGGAAAGCGTACTTTAGGTTCGCAGTGGATATCACAGCAGAGTGTAGTTCATCCTTCTCCTGGTCGCCTTTGGTCCTTTCGGTAGAGGAAACAAGATGGCCGCCTTTATACACGACGAATACAGTGTTGTGCGGCTTCTGATTCGTCAACCTTCTATTGGTCGACTATAAAGGGAAATAAGTCATCCTGACTCGCTCACTAGTTATATGTGTAATATACCCAAAAAACCGTAACACGCTGCTCCTCCTGTATATGACGATATTCTCGACAAGTTCCAGAGAAGGATCTCTAATGTGATCGATCATGACAGGTCAACTCTACTTCAGTCACTTTCCCACCAACCCGACGTGGCTTCCCTTTCTCTTTTCTACAAATATTTTCACGGGAACTAAGATAACGAATTTTTTTCTTTGGTGTCCCGAATGCATGAATTTAAGCGTGTATCTAGATTGGCAACTAGGTCCCACCATTTTGAATCTTGAAATAGCTGAATGTAACCTAATACTGTTGAAATACATTCTAGTCCAAAAGTTTCGTTTCTTGCACTTCCCACCTGTGGAACTCACTTCCGATTTCTTGCTTCCCTGATAACTACAATCTTCAAAGATTTAAATACAACGTCAATCGTATCAATCGGTCTTCTTGAACCCTGTTCATTTTGCATCATTTCTTCAATCCTACGACTCAGTGTTCTTTTATTTTCACTTTCACTTTCATTTTCACATTCTCTTACTGCTACCCTTTGTCTACTAGTGTCGTTACTGCGTTGCTTGGAGTGGAATCAATTTTTTTTAAAAAGATCAAGCCGGGAGCTACCCAGTTTTTATCATTCGTCGGCGTGATGATTAATTTTCCACACTACAAACACATTCCCACAGACAAAAGGTTGCAAGCTTCTCGTTGCTCTATCGCGGTTTCCATGGAAAATGTTGAGATTAGCTATATTCCTTAGTTCCACCAATACTAGCCTGCACAGCTAGGGCTTACGCGACGCGTACGCTGAGGGAAACTAGTTGCATTTCATTCCTATTTCATTAGTGAGAAGTAAGTTTCATTCAAACCACGAACCACTATTATATGAAATCGACACCAAAGAAGATACGTTCCCAACCAATATAATAGTGAGCCGTTCCAATTCAGAGTTAAGCATTGCCTATCACACATAGCTTCAGGAATTGCAACCCTTACCTCAGATTCTCGTCGCTAACACAATACACCCCTTGTGGCGCGAATGGTTCTTGGGCCTTGTACAGAATGAATATCAGTATCAGATATACATAAACACATATAAATACATATAAAATACATATACATTTACATGCATATATGTACATGTATATATATATATATATATATATATATATATATATATATATATATATATATATATAGAGAGAGAGATAGAGAGAGAGAGAGATAAAAGGTGAACAGAAGTCAACACTCAGAGGTGACAGGCTGTTTTATGATAGACGCAATCGTCAACACAGGTGGCCTGACGATTGTGTCTAGCATTAAACAGCCTGTCGCTTCTGAGTGTTGACTTCAGTGTTCACTTTTATATTTATATTTGCATACGCTCTATCTCTGATATTGAGCACTTTATCCCGTAAATATAGCATACCTTAAAACTATATATATATATATATATATATATATATATATATATATATATATATATATATTCTATATTTATGGGTAAAAGTGCTCAATATCAGAGATAGAGCATGTGAATATGTAAGAGTAGACACGAACACACACACAGGCACATATGTGTGTATGTGCGTGTGCCTGTGTGTGTGTGTGTGTGTGTGTAGTGCGTACCAATTTTGCAACAGACCTTCATGTATAGATTTGTAATTTATATTCATGGATATATTAGTACCAAATGCTCACTTACACATATGCAAACATACACGTACACATGTGTAAATATACACGTACACATATGCAAATATAAACCTACACATATGCAAGAATACACATATGCAAATATACAGATATATAAATATACACGTACGCATATGCAAATATACACATGCAAATATCTACGTACGCATATACAGATATACATATGCAAGTGTACACATTCAAATATACACATATGCAAATATACATGTGCACATACGCAAATATACACATATGCAAATATACACATATGTAAATATACACGTATACATATGCAAATATATATACAGTTGTCGACAGAATTATTCACCATCCTTCCATAATTGCGAATGAAGCTGAAATACCTAAATTCTTTATGGAAATTTCATGCGTATTTTTTCACAAATGATGAAAAATGGATTTGAAAGAATGTGCAGTGATGCCCACAATAAAAGATTTTATTTTAATATCAAACAATAATATAAAAATACCAAAAAACATTTAACATGGGACAAAATCATTGGATCTCTAGCCTCAATAATCGATTGTGTAACCTTTATTCTTGATTATTGCCTTTAAACATTATTGATAGTTCCTTACAAAATCACTATACACATTGATAGGTATTTTTCCTCCTTGGCAATAGCTTCTAGTTCCTTCAAATTCGGAGGACAACTTTCTCTTAATTTCTTCTTCAAATATGCCCATTTTTAATGAGGTTTACGACAGGACTTTTGCGGGATACGCCAATACCTTAATGTTTCTTTCATATAAGTATTTTACAACAATGCGTGTCGTGTGTTTCGAAACATTATCATATTGGAACGTCTAGTGACGCTCCAAAAGACAGATTTCGTGCACTGTGTTTTATATTATTTTTAAAAATAGTCAAATAATGCTCCTTATCCCTTGTATATTCAACCCTGATGCTGTACAATCTCACCAGTTCTCCTGGCCCAGAAGCAGCAAAACATCCCCAGAGCAGAAAGTCCCTACCAACATGCTTAATTGTAGGTAGGGTAGTTTTTGATTTTGATTGTTATGAATGAAATATAGATAGTAGATTCATTACAATTGCAGAGACATCAATAATCATAAAATATACCATTATAGTAATGTTTATTTTCAGTATAATATACCCGGAAATACTTTCCGTCGAGTATTCATTTTGAAATTGCCTCTATCACTCTCTTATTTCCTGAAGTTTCAGATTGTCTGGCAACTGCAGTCCGAAAAGGAATTGTTAGATGAGTTGGCTGCAGAAGATTATCCATGTTGCTTCTCATTTCATTTCCTTCTCTGAGATCAAGACTGCTGGTGGCTGTAGAAAATTGATTAAGAAAAAATTCCAAAATTTTTTATTTTCTCAAGTACTAATCTCATCTGAGATCAGTCCGTGGAGCATTTATCTTCATGGTACGTCTTTTTAAAGATGTGCTGCCAGCTGGTTCTTGAGCTTCAGACTGCCTTTGCAACTTTTCTCTACATAGCAGTTCGTGGAGCATTTAATGGATGTCTTCTGCCAGCTTTTATTTTTCTTGAGCTTCAGACTGACTTTGTATATATACTAAAGCAATACTGCATTACGTGGAAAAGTACAAAATTTAAGGAGAGTATTAAACATATAATAATAAATGTCTTCTGCCAGGTGATATAGCTTCCATTCTTGAGCTTCAGACTGGTCCTTTGCTACTTTTGCAGTTCGTTGGAAAAACTATAAACATGCATTTACAATATTTATCTAAGTACGTGGCTTCTACCAGATTCAAAAATAGTACGACTTCTTCTTGAGCTTCAGACTGCCTTTATCACACTGCCAACTTTTTTCTAAGCAGTTAAATCTGTTACGAAAAAGAACTAAACAAAATAAACACAATACGATCAGCTTTAAAAACCGAAAAAACATTTTTAAGGGTTTTGCACTCTGTTGGGGGTGCTCAAGTTGAAACTACGATGACTTTTCATAAATCCGCTTTTTCTTGACATGCTTCAGACTGCCGGTTTTTGCTTTTACTGCAGTTGTTTAGGGGTCCGTGGTCAGAAAATTTGGACAACACTTCTAATGGTACGTCTTTTTGCCATCTTCTTCTGTAAGAGAATTTTTCTTCAGACTTTTTTCGCCTTTCGATTTTTCGCTTTTTCGGAACTGCAGTTCGTGGAGCATTTAAGGTACGTCTTCGAGGTAACAACGCCCACGACAGACACATAGACAGACAACATTATAGATGAGATTCAGACTGCCTTTATAGTAATGTTTACTGCAGTTCGTGGAGCATTTTATCCATGGTACGTCTTCTGCCAGCTTCTTCTTGAGATCAAGACTGCCTTTGCTACTGCAGTTCGTGGAGCATTTAAGGTACGTCTTCTGCCAGCTGCTTCTTGAGCTTCAGACTGCCTTTGCAACTGCAGTTCGTGGAGCATTTAATGGATGTCTTCTGCCAGCTTCTTCTTGAGCTTCAGACTGCCTTTGCTACTGCAGTTCGTGGAGCATTTAAGGTACGTCTTCTGCCAGCTTCTTCTTGAGCTTCAGACTGCCTTTGCTACTGCAGTTCGTGGAGCATTTAAGGTACGTCTTCTGCCAGCTTCTTCTTGAGCTTCAGACTGCCTTTGCTACTGCAGTTCGTGGGATTCTTTTTCAGACTGAGCATTTAAGGTACGTCTTCTGCCAGCTTCTTCTTGAGCTTCAGACTGCCTTTGCTACTTTAAGCAGTTCGTGGAGCTTCAGACTTTGCACGTCTTCGCCAGCTTCTTCTTGAGCTTCAGACTGCCTTTGCTACTGCAGTTCGTGGAGCATTTAAGGTACGTCTTCTGCCAGCTTCTTCTTGAGCTTCAGACTGCCTTTGCTACTGCAGTTCGTGGAGCATTTAAGGTGCCACGTCTTTTGCCAGCTTCTTCTTGAGCTTCAGACTGCCTTTGCTACTTCAGACAGTTCGTTCATTAGAGCATTTAAGGTAAGTCTTTTGCCAGCTTCTTCTTGAGCTTCAGACTGCCTTTGCTACTGCAGTTCGTGGAGCATTCTTGAAGACTGCTTTGCTACTGCAGTTCGTGGACGTCTTTTGCCAGCTTCTTCTTGAGCTTCAGACTGCCTTTTGCTACTGCAGTTCGTGGAGCATTTAAGGTACGTCTTCTGCCAGCTTCTTCTTGAGCTTCAGACTGCCTTTGCTACTGCAGTTCGTGGAGCATTTAAGGTAAGTCTTTTGCCAGACTTCTTCTTGAGCTTGGAGCAGACTGCCTTTGCTACTGCAGTTCGTGGAGCATTTAAGGTAAGTCTTTGTAAGACTGCCTTTTACTGCAGTTCGTGGAGCATTTAAGGTACTCTTCTGTCAGCTTGAGCTTCAGACTGCCTTTGCTACTGCAGTTCGTGGAGCATTTAAGGTACGTCTTTTGCCAGGAGCTTCATTTTGCTACTGCAGTTCGTGGACATTTAAGTCTTCTTCTGCCAGCTTCTTCTTGAGCTTCAGACTGCCTTTGCTACTGCAGTTCGTGGAGCATTTAAGGTACGTCTTTGCCAGCTTCTTCTTGAGCTTCAGACTGCCTTTGCTACTGCAGTTCGTGGAGCATTTAAGGTTAGTCTTTGTCAGCTTCTTCTTGAGCTTCAGACTGCCTTTGCTACTGCAGTTCGTGGAGCATTTAAGGTACGTCTTCTTGAGCTCAGACTTCTTCTTGAGCTTCAGACTGCCTTTGCTACTGCAGTTCGTGGAGCATTTAAGGTACGTCTTCTGTCAGCTTCTTCTTGAGCTTCAGACTGCCTTTGCTACTGCAGTTCGTGGAGCATTTAAGGTACGTCTTTTGCCAGCTTCTTCTTGAGCTTCAGACTGCCTTTGCTACTGCAGTTCGTGGAGCATTTAAGGTACGTCTTTTGCCAGCTTCTTCTTGAGCTTCAGACTGCCTTTGCTACTGCAGTTCGTGGAGCATTTAAGGTACGTCTTTTGCCAGCTTCTTCTTGAGCTTCAGACTGCCTTTGCTACTGCAGTTCGTGGAGCATTTAAGGTACGTCTTTTGCCAGCTTCTTCTTGAGCTTCAGACTGCCTTTGCTACTGCAGTTCGTGGAGCATTTAAGGTACGTTTTTGCCAGCTTCTTGAGCTTCAAACTGCCTTTCGTGGAGCATTTAAGCTACTGCAGTTCGTGGAGCTTTTGTACGTCTTTTGCCAGCTTCTTCTTGAGCTTCAGACTGCCTTTGCTACTGCAGTATGTGGAGCATTTAAGGTACGTCTTCTGCCAGCTTCTTGAGCTTCAAACTGCCTTTGCTACTGCAGTTCGTGGAGCATTTAAGGTACGTCTTTTGCCAGCTTCTTGAGCTTCAAACTGCCTTTGCTACTGCAGTTCGTGGAGCATTTAAGGTACGTCTTTTGCCAGCTTCTTCTTGAGCTTCAGACTGCCTTTGCTACTGCAGTTCGTGGAGCATTTAAGGTACGTCTTTTGTCAGCTTCTTCTTGAGCTTCAAACTGCCTTTGCTACTGCAGTTCGTGGAGCATTTAAGGTACGTCTTTTGCCAGCTTCTTCTTGAGCTTCAGACTGCCTTTGCTACTGCAGTATGTGAAGCATCTAATCTACGTCTTAGATCCGCTTTTTCTTTACTTTTTGATACTCATGAAGCTGTATGCCATTCTGCGTCTCCTTCTCTTGCTCAGCTGATCTTCAGATACTTACGCTCTTTCTCTTTTCCCCTTTTTATGCTGGGGTTGCTTAGGTGGTCCAAAACAGAACTTTTTGGAAGGCATTGTAGTAAAGGTGTAGCCTAATTATAAATTGCAAGATTCATCTGGCAGAACGGGCATCTGAAAGAGATAGAGCTGCTTGGATTAAAACATTACAGGATAAACCACTTTATCAAGAATTTAAGTAAATTGTAAAGTTGGATATTAATGAAATTGTAGTTATTATTTTGGTTCAAGTGATGCCTCCTTGGTCGAAAAGAAACAAAATTTATGGAAAAACTACACTGGGATCCATATTAATTGGATCATCACATAAGATTGAAACAGTAGCTATTGTGTAGGTTTTAAGAAACTAAATGTGATGTCTCAATCAAATGTTTGGCGGCGAAAATGAAATGAATGTTAAAAGATAGTAGGCTTTAAATTTCATTTAAATCTATGGAATACATTTTTTGAGGCGTGGATTTATGCACCCCTGAAATTACGATATTTATTTCTGTTAAAATACTGAAAATGTGGCACAAGGCCTAAAGCAGGGGGAGGTGGAAAGGACTGTCTTCATCTGTCTTAACTTTAAACTTAGCTAGCCGCAAACACTGACCCAATCATACAAACAATAATCCTAACACCAAAACAACTCTTAATAACCTTTCTTACTTACATTCACTATAATACCTCATTGTCTCAATGAAAATCCTAAACAGTCCCCATATGTACAAATCATCGTATGTGGGGGGAGGGGAATAAAACAACAAGTTAAAAGATCCCCAACGAGTATGTACAATATGCATATAATCTATTTACAAGAAACTAAACAAAATCATGTTAGTAATACCCCCCACATTTCTTAAATGTGGCAGAAACATCAGTTAACTGGACGAAATCAATGCGAGACTATAATAAATATTTAAAAAAAAAAAACATTAATTCATCCCTAACACTCACGCGGACAACACATAGACAAAAAAAACAAAAAAACAAAAAAAAACGAAAAGCGCCCCGCATCGACCAGAAAACTGACATCACTGACCACTGAATGAAGAAGAAGATGGGGAATTAAAACTTAAAGAAAAAATAGGGACAAAAATAAAAGGCCCCCTGAAATTACCCCTGTTTTTAAATAATTATATAAGTTATGCTATATTTCTAAGCAAAAGTTCTCAATATCACTAAACAGATATGAAATACAAATAAGAAAGAATCTATAAAAATATTATATAAACATATATATATATATATATATATATATATATATATATATATATATATATATATATATATATATATATATATATTCTATGTTATTAGGCGTACTACATAGAATCTGTTTCAAATTTCATAAGAATCTATCCAATGTCTGTATTGTCTAGATTTTTAGGAAGCTAAGCACTCCCACTCTACCCCCTTTGAACTCTACTTTTTGAGTTGGTTTCAAAATATATCAATTTACCATCGGGTATATTTTAGTGACGAAAACATATACCCTATGGTAAAAACCCCGTGATAATAGACATTCAAATACTCGAGTTAAGGTCTTCCAAAATATTCAATATAGTGGGGGGTAGTTTAGGCGTCTCTGTATTATTAAAATCAGCTGATATTTTGGGAATAGGCATCATTTCTGGTCATTTACCTGAGTATAAATTTCATTTAAATTGAATGGAAAAAAAATTATGGGGTGGTTGTGCACCCCCACCCCCCAGGGACCTCTTTTGATCAAAATAATATATACTTATACATAAGCTGGGAAAGGTGTGAATCCTCTTCTTCTCCCTCCTGCTATGGGTAAATAGCAGGACAGACTGGGTTCTATAGCCTTGGATGGCAACTGGTCTAGGAGAAGGACAACTGTGAATTCAAACCTGGAGTGGAGCCCCTAAGGAGGATGGACGGCACTTTGTGCTACCTTCCAGCAACTCCTGCAGCCGCGCTGGTACCAAACTGTATTGGTTTATCCTCTCCTTTGGATTCTGCTAGCAAGGCCGAGAGGGGTAACTAGACGTCCGGGCAGCCCTAGTTCTCCATATATCCCGCCCAGGCTCGGAGGGCACTGCGCTACTGCATCGTCTCTAGAGACGGACGGATGCCGACGACGACGACATTATATAAGCAAATACATCTATGCTCCTGCCGGAAGTCTATTATCACAAATTTCATAAAAATCTGTTCAGTAGTTTTTGAATCCATGGGTACATTTATTTTCAACGGTGAGTGTGTGCGTGGGGTGGGGGTCTGTTGCCTTTGGTACCCCTCAAATATAAATCAAACATGGCTAATTATACTCCCTTTTATGTTTACTATCTATGTTCAAAACTTAGTGAAGATCAGTGAAAAAGTTTTTCTTCCTATAGGAGACAGATAGACACACAAACATACACACAGACGTTCATTATTTACATCATTCGAACTATTGTCCTCATCTTTGTCGCCATATTTATTACAACGTTTCGGCCTTTCATTATCTGTCTATATTTCTGAGGTGAGGTATTATGTACACTATTTATATTATTCGGACTATTGTTCTCATCTTTGTCGCCATATTTATTACAACGTTTCGGCCTTTCATTATCTGTCCATATTTCTGAGGTGAGGTATTATGTACACTATTTATATTATTCGGACTATTGTTCTCATCTTTGTCGCCATATTTATTACAACGTTTCAGCCTTTCATTATATGTCTATATTTCTGAGGTGAGGTATTATGTACATTATTTATATTATTCGAACTATTGTCCTCATCTTTGTCGCCATATTTATTACAACGTTTCGGCCTTTCATTATCTGTCTATATTTCTGAGGTGAGGTATTATGTACATTATTTATATTATTCGGAATATTGTCCTCATCTTTGTCGCCATATTTATTACAACGTTTCGGCCTTTCAGTATCTGTCTATATTTCTGAGATGAGGTATTATGTACACTATTTACATTATTCGGACTATTGTCCTCATCTTTGTCGCCATATTTATTACAATATTTCGGCCTTTCATTATCTGTCTATATTTCTGAGGTGAGGTATTATGTACACTATTTATATTATTCGGACTATTGTCCTCATCTTTGTCGTCATATTTATTACAACGTTTCGGCCATTGTACGCTCCGGCCTTCTTATTGCTTAAGCATAGATTAGTTCTGGTACAAGGCTACAAGCATTGGGCACTCTGTCAGGATGGAACTCGCTGTTGATGATCTGTGAAACAAGATTACTAAGTATTATACTTCAACGAAGAATAAGTGAGTAGCTCTTTACAAAGATTAGTTTAGTCTGGTACAAGAATGAGCGAGTCGAATACGAACAGAATCCATAGTGGGAACGATCAGTAGGGCATCTCGCTTGCAAAAGATATTTCCATGACATAGTCTCTTTCCTATAATTCATATTTCAGCCGTTGTACGCTCCGGCCTTCTTCAGGTGGTTGGAATGTCGAACTGAACCCTTTATTTCGCTCACAGGGGTAGACTTTTCTAGTTCCACGTACCATGTTTTTAATAGATGTTAATTATCAGTTATCTCCTGTTAATTCCCCTCTCCAAGTTCTCCACTGCCTTAACCGGGTATTGAACTCACACTCTTTGGGTCTTGTCACTGGATCTAACCAATGCCTTTATCCACTCTGCTTTATGTCCTTGAATAATGTAAATTGTGTACATACCTCATCTCAGAAATATAGACAGCTACTTATACGCGTTCATCTTTATTATTATACATATATAGATGTGTGTATGGTGAAAAAAAAACATGCGTATACACACATATATTTGCATGTACATATATATTTCTTTTCTTCTCAGGTGGTATAAAAAGAGTGCTCAATGTTATTTAAAAAAATTATTTTGAAAAAATTTGCATGATGCAAAAAATGAGTTATCCCCCTTGATACATGTCGCGTTAACGTAAATTCACTTTTTTTTTAATTCCCGTCTTTTGACTATAAGACTTTAATCATTAAATTATAATAATAATTAATTTAAATATTATCGACAAAAATAATATGAAGGACAAGTTCTAAGACAAAATTTTAAATCGAGAAGGATTGCGTATCCGCATGAAAATCCGAGATGTGCTATGAAC